GAATAGTTATAAATATTTATAAGTATTTATTAAAACTAACAAAATTGTTTTTCTAAGGAAATTAATCACGAATACAGTACCGATGTATAAGATTTACTATGAAAATCAAATGAGTAAGCAATGTCTGTGAATTAAACAAAATAATCTTGATTAATTCAGCAGTTTTTTAGTTATTTTCTCAATAGAAACGCTGATTAGTATTAAATGTGTTTTTAATAAAATCATTTTTATTACCAATATGTTAAAGTCCATACCAATTGAATGCCTGATATAACTCACTAATAAACATATTATCATAATTTTTGGACAACCATTTTGTGGTAAAAAAATTATTTTAGAATAAACAGGAAATTAAGTTTCAATACAATTATCTTATAATTCATATTTAATTTCTAAATTATAATCATAACAAAAAACTACATCTGAATTGATAGGGGGATGAAAAATAGTATATTTAAACCCCTATAAAATACTATTCAGTATCGGATAAATGCACTAAAAAATCACATAAAAGTGAAATTCATTGATTTTCTTTATATCGCAAATCGTATNGTAAAGTGACATTTCTCTTTTTGCTTTAGCCCTACAATTTAGTTTTATATACAATATTGATTATAAATATTTTACCCATACATTAATTACTAAATATATACAATAATTTAGTTGCATATTATACAAATGACATTTATTTGATGTTTATATTATTGAAATAAAGTGTATTGACAGACAAATATCAAAAGTAGCGATTATTTATGCTTTTAATGCATTTAATTTTTATTAATATGCGTACAAAATGTTGTGACGACAGATGGGTAGAGATTTAACAAGTGCTGACAATTTCCCAAAATGAAACAGCGGTACAAACTTACATAAACTGTAAGGCATTAATGGCCAGTGCTTTTCGGCCTTTCATTTTTTGTTCAAAACTTTTTCAATGATAAAACAGTAGGGAATGATTTGTATTAACTACATGTAACTTATGTACATTATATTATAATATGATTTGCGACTTTTAAAACCGGGGTAACTTCAAAATTTGGCTTACAACAATATGCCTTAACTTTAATTATTGCATTGAAGTAAACAATGTTTATTAAACTTTATTTTTTAAATGTTTGATTTATTGCTAAGAATATTCTAGAATCTAGATTCAATGCAATATTTGTAGTGAAGTCTATGGTTTTGAGACAGTAGTTATATAAATATAAAGGTTTATAAAAATTGTAATAATGAGAAATAATTACAAACAAATACATTAGGAATTTAAAGGAGATTACTTATAAATAACACTTATAGGAAAAGTACAAGAATTTATTAATTAACAGGTCATTTATAATAATATTTATATTGATAAACATAAGACAGGTGAAAATATGAGGAAAATATTGCAGTAAATTATTTTTTCTATTTTATAACAAGTAGGTACATACAATATATTATTAAATAATTAACAATGATAAATGTTGTGCAATAATTAAATGTTTTAATTTGGTTAGTGATTAAACTTGGGATTAACACTCAGAATGTTCATATGTAATACACGTGATTTCATTCATTAAATTGAAGTAGCTCAAACAAGACAATGCACTATTATCGTTGTAATTTTATATATAATACAATGCTTTACACAATCAATGTTTACAATGACATTACTTTCTAATCAAGTGTTTTTTAGATACTGTTTGTAATTATTATTTTAATAAATTAAATCATTTCTAAGAAATTAGTTAATTTTTAATTGTGTTCATAAATAAGAGACTAGATTATATTCTGTATGTACATGTTTATTAAATTGGAAAGTTTTAAATAATATTCATATAATAAGATTCTTAAGTCTAATTTGCATGATTTGAACTAAATGTGTACTAAAAAAGTTTAAAAATTTCAACACTTTAGATTGCACACAATATTTGATGTACAGTATATTTTAAGAGTACATTATCAATATAGTGTACACAATTAAATTATCATTTTATAAATTTGCATTTGCATTACTGAATACTATATTTGCTTTTCAAGGATTCTGGCAATTGACATATCATATCATTTGTTGAGTGTATTTACATCTTTTTGTTACTATGATATATCAATACGGAATGCACAGGGTGTATTGTTGGAAATAATCTTGCCATTTGTTAAGCCATTCTCGCTCCTGTTTAAGAATCTGTAATTAAAATTTTTGTGCTGCTCGTATTTATGGTTTTTAAAATAATTTCTCATAATTCTAGATTACTTTGATTACAATAAAGTTTACATAATCAACTTTTTCACATACTTTCAAATAATCTTTGTAAAACAATAACTACGTGTAGCACAAATGTAATTCTCCATTAATGTACACCCTGTAATATCAATATAGTAATCATTATAACTACTAATATATTGTAGGAAATGGTGGTCAAAGGTAGCATTTTTGCCAAAAATATTACTGTATTTACAATAGGAGTGTACAGTATATGTGGTTAAGGAAATGGTATTCCTCGAAAGTACTGTAAACTTAAATATCGATACGATTTGCGATATAAAGAAAATCAATGAATTTCACTTTTATGTGATTTTTTAGTGCATTTATCCGATACTGAATAGTATTTTATAGGGGTTTAAATATACTATTTTTCATCCCCCTATCAATTCAGATGTAGTTTTTTGTTATGATTATAATTTAGAAATTAAATATGAATTATAAGATAATTGTATTGAAACTTAATTTCCTGTTTATTCTAAATTAATTTTTTTACCACAAAATGGTTGTCCAAAAATTATGATAATATGTTTATTAGTGAGTTATATCAGGCATTCAATTGGTATGGACTTTAACATATTGGTAATAAAAATGATTTTATTAAAAACACATTTAATACTAATCAGCGTTTCTATTGAGAAAATAACTAAAAAACTGCTGAATTAATCAAGATTATTTTGTTTAATTCACAGACATTGCTTACTCATTTGATTTTCATAGTAAATCTTATACATCGGTACTGTATTCGTGATTAATTTCCTTAGAAAAACAATTTTGTTAGTTTTAATAAATACTTATAAATATTTATAACTATTCATTACAACACAAATGATTTTGTTGTCGCAAAATTGATAATTTTGTCTTAATATAAATATTATGTTAATTGGGTTTTACGTGAGATTTATTTTGTTATTCTGTTATTTATTTGTGAGTCTTTTACCGAGAAATCTAAGCGTAAAGTCCACTCTTATGTCCACTTAATTGTTATGTCAATAGAGTTATTATAATAGATAGGAATATATGCCGTAATTATTAACTAAATTTATCATTATTTGGATTAAGCATTAAATAAATATTAATTATATTTAAATACAATTTTATAATAAACGACTTCTTCTGACAGGAATTGACAATTAATGACAAACTTATTGATAAAATTGTATATCAATTTCCAAAGTCCAACACTTTGTTTCTTCCCAAACATTACACGATATGTTTGTATTAAATCCACTCTTAAATAATAATATGCGATAAATCTAAGAAAATATATATTTAGTGACAATGAATAATGATTATAAATGACAGTTATTCTGGTCTTTGTGTTAACTTGTTCTAATTATTTTTCAATTATTGAAGGTAATTAAAAATACTGAATGACAGATTTCTAGTTAACTTTTTAATACTAGATTAAACCAATTTTTAATTAAATTATTATGTTTTCGAAAAAATGTGTTTTTAGGTTTTGTTAAATCATTTTTTCTGCTGCTATCACTTTATGTGTATGAATAATAAAGTTTTATATATATTAAACAAATATAATCACAAAAATAGTTTTTCCATTTATTTATTTTAATGTCGGAAAAATCAGTTTCTTAATGAGTGTCTCAATGAAACACTTATTTTACTGTATATTTGGGAAAATATTGATAACAATTTATACATTTGTTTTATTGATAATAAATATACTGTAGTTAAAAAGTTGCCAAAACTAATGTCGATGAGATAAAGGGTTTACTTCAAAATATTAAGTTATTTAATTTATTTTAAAATAATATTAAGTTTTCTAATGTGATGATATTTTGCATTGATAGCAAGTATAATATTATATTAATAATATTATCAAATTTATACATATTTAATATTTTAAATGTCATTTACACATAGAAAAATTGTTAATTTTATTATTTTAATCGTTTTAAAATTACTTTCCGATAACCTTTTGAACAGATAATACAAGTTGTTTCATAAAATATTAATAATTTTACACTATTTGATAAATTAAATCTTAATTATAAAGTTGTTTAAATATATTTTATAATGAGTTTAATGACTGTTTATAATAATCGTTATAATTGGCATTGAATTCTTTTGGTCATTATTCTGTCAAATATTTTTTGATTACATTTTTTAAAATTTTATTGATTTATTTACAATTACATTTACAAATATAGTAGTCTTATAGTAAACTTTAAATGAGAAATTATTAATTTTGGTATAATATAGAGATAACTGTTGAAATAGTTTAAAACCTTTAGCTTTATTCAAAACATTAATTTGTGTAATTAAATACACCCATGTACAGAATGTAATGCCTTGAACGTAAACTGTAGTGCATTATTAAAAACAATATGCGGTCATTGGCTTTTCGATAGCCACCACTTTGCCTTGACACTTACAACTGCTCGACTGTATTTGCTCAACAGATCACATGCAACAGTTTTAATTAAATTATTTATTATAGATTCAGAGTTAAGATTGTTGTAAAATGTCGTTTTTTAATTTTATAATGAATTAATTAATAGAAGAAAAATTATTGAATTATTAAAATATAGTTAATTAAAATTGGTCAAATCTATTATTATTGTTATTTGTATCATTTTTAACACTATTATTGTCAATACTGTTATTATTATTTTGATTGTGATCACCACTAGTATTATTATAGGGCTTAAAACTGGCCAACTGTTCGAGCGTAGCGTTAATCTCATTGATATCTACCTGAGACTCGGGCCTAACAATTGCGGAATCGTTTGAACTTTTATTTCTTCTGAGAAGTCCGTCCCTACAAAACACATAGCATTGATAGCATTGTTGAGAGACATGACAACAGACCACCAGAGCTATGATTAACAACACGATGACAGCTGTGATTCCCACCATAATCACAATAACCAGCGCTTTAGAGGACATGCCGTACGAGTTGACCGTCGATTTGGGCTTATATTTGTCGGAATCGATACAAAAGGGTTGGGTTCCGCTCCACGAGCCGTCCGATTGACAGATACGGGTTCGCGACGACACCAGCAATGGTCGACCGGTAATGCCGTATAGGGTTGTCGCGCATCGGGCCGTCACTATTGTGCCGTACATTATGGAGCCGTCGGGCGCTCTGTTATGGTAAGTGGAAAATATGCCAAATTTGTCCACTACTTGCGGGCAGTGGCTGTGTTTTAGTCGACATACGGGGAATTCACGTGCCCACTGGCCATTACCCAGACATGGTATACGTTTTGGGCCTGAATTTCAAAATGGTCAATTAATGTATGAAAGTTATCAAAATAAAGTCTGTTTTATAAACTTGTGTAAATAAGAGTATATGCTGTGATCTATAAAAATGATGGTAATTTTTTGGACACTAACCGATCAGTTCGTAACCGTCAACACAGGAATAGATGGCCACCTGATTGACCACTTGAACGAGACTATTGAGTGGTCGTTCGGGAACACCGCATAACTCGGATGAGTGAAATATACTGAGCGAACAGAGGCTGACGTTTTGCGGGTCAAATTTGTTGGCCATTCTCTTGGGATCCAAATAGAGTACAATCTCATCGGCACCCGTAGAGTAGGCGCCCTGTTCTGCGGCCGTCGGGTCGTGATTGCAGATAAAGGATATGTGTGTTATCCGTTTGTCGTAGTCATAAATGTCTTTAGGCTCGCAGAAAGTGGAGCCAACTTTGGCCGTAATGGGCCTATAGGTGGCATTTTTGCCGCTGGAGCCCCACGTGACTAAATTACCGTACATTCCGCCCGGTTTGAGTTGCAGCCAAAACGATGTGATCGGTTGGGTATCATTGAACCGGAGCTGCCATTTCTGTTGAACAGTCACGTTGAACGAGACACACGAGTCTGTCTGAGGCCACCCGCC